CGGAGCCCTTTTACTTAGGGCTTCGGTACGCTGTAGTTGAAAATAAATTCATCTCGAAAACGGAATCGGGCAATTTAAGGCGCAATTTAAGCTCTGACAGTTTCTTCAAAAACTTCCCAATTATCAATATTTATGATGATAATTACCCTTTTCCGAGCAGATGGCAGTCATTATCAGGAGCTTTATGATATTTCAAAGAAGTATATATATGTATTTCAAAGAAACGGAAGATTTTGTGTAGGAGTGTTTGTAGTATTCAAATTATACATGGGAAGAGTCATGAAAGTTCACGCGCAACTATTTTGTTCTCTTGGATTTGAACCTGGGTGGAACTACCAGTGTTTAGCGGTCAACCAGCGCTCAGCCGCTGGTTGGCGAAACACTTTTCAATACTGAGAGTGGAAAGGCTCCGTAAAAATAAAATATAACTTTTTAAATTTAATTGCTATATAGCAAAATATTCCAAGAGAGTAAAATGTGCATTATGGTTTGACACGTTTGCATGGTTCTTCACTCTTTTTGTTTAAGATGAACGTCAAGGAACCTAGAGAACTGAGTAGCGACTTATCGCTGAGTTCAAACAACTAAAACGTAGACTCGAGAAGAATTAAAAATACCCTTTATTTTAATCAAATAAGAATAACAGTCGCCCCCTTGTCGGGCTTACAGGAAGCCTCTACTCGGGCTTTAACTCAGAATAAGAAATAAGAAATTAAACTATAATTAAATAAAGGAGACTAAACAGAAGTATCTAACGTAGTCGGCCCTTAATTTAAACTAGCCGGGGAATATCAAAAGGCACATAACAATACGGCCGAGCGTAACAGCTTCAAGGGTGAATTAGCCCGAAGGCAAACACGCGCTACTAAGGATACCTAGCACTCTCTATTTAAGTTAGTTGAACCTTCCTTAAATACTTCTAACTCATTTGCATTCGATGCGATGTTAAAAACTCATTCTGGTAGGGAGTTGTAAGTGGAAACCAAAATTGATAGAAAAGGGTTTTAAAATTATAATAACTGTTATAAAATTAAAATATACCTTACAAATTTAGCATAAAAAGATCCAACACTTAAGGTAGAAATATTGCTAAGGTATTATCTCCTTTTCTGCGAGCGCATAAGATATTATCTCCTTGCTGCGGTTGTATAAGGTGTTATCTCTTTTCTGCGTGCTTTCGTGGTGTAGCTGGAAGCACGTCCGGCTAGTAATCGGGAGGTCCGGATACCAATCCTGGCGAGGTTACTACGGATTTCTTCTATTTCCTTACTTCGAAAAATTTTTAGAAGTGGCGCCCAATAAAAAGGTGTTGAACGATAATTCATCACCACCGGGATTTGGCAACTAGGTCCCCTAATTCTTAGTTGCCCTTTAAAACAGGAAGTGTATAAGATATTTCTTCCCTCTTTTCCTCTTGCCTTCGTAAATGGAAACACGCTCGACGAGTATTCGGGAGGTCTGGAGTTCGAATCACGGAGAGGGTGTAGAGACATTAGGTTATTTTGAAGCAGGAGATATGAAAAATGAGCGATGCCCTCGCCGGGAATCGAACCACGGACCTCTGGTTTACGCGCCAACCGTTCTCACCACTACACCACGAAGGCGGGAGAAATACCTTATGTACTCCCCCTTTTAAAGGGAGACTAGGGATTAGGGGACCCAATCGCCAAATCCTGGTGGAGAGAATCATCATCCACTGCTCTTTTTAGTTCGGGGGCCACTTTAAAGACATTAGATTATTTTGAAGCAAGAGAGATGAAAAATGAGTAATGCCCTCGCCGGGAATCGAACCACGGACCTCTCGAATACGCGCCAAGCGTGCTGACCACTACACTACGAAGGCATACTAAGGAGGCGGGAGAAATACCTTATAAGGGCACTACGGATTTCTTCGTTTTCGTTGCTTCGAATAAAACTTAATGACTCTACAAATGGCGCCCGCACTAAAAAAGGTGGTAGACTCTAATTCATCACTCCCCCAGGATTTGGCAACTGGGTCCCCTAATCCAAAGTCGCCCTTCAAAAGGGAAGAATATATAAGATATTTTCTCTCTCCTTTCTGCGTGCTGTCGTGATTTCACTGGAAGAACTTTCGGCTAGTAATCGGGATGTCCGCAGTTTCAAACCCAGCGAGAGCACTACATAGTTTCACGCTCGGGTTTCGGTACAACCTAATGATTCTACGAGTACAAAGCTATTAGTAAATAATAGTTTCATGAGAAGAACTGCAAAGTTAACCATGAGTGCAGGTTTCCTCAATATAATACCATTAAAAGAAAAAAAAAGCAACTTCTATTTTGAATTTTCTCCCAAATCTGATGAAGCCGATTAGTAACAGATATTGAAAATTGATCTAAGCCAATAAATTCGTTCTCCAGTCTCACAGCAAACTTTGGAAGCGTAGATAGAGAATTTTATAGATAGAGAATTTTATTTCAAACAGTATAATATATTTAGCTTATTAAAGCAGAAACAAAACTTCACAAAACGGAATTTTGATCTACTGGGATCACGTAAGTAACTGCACTTCAGCAATTTTTGATTTAATTAAGGATTTTGTGCTATGTTTTACATAAAAAGAATTATTCATATTGTTATTAAATTCTAAAAATAAAATAAAATTCTAAAAAAAATTAATAATTCTAAAATAAAATTATTGGATTCTTAAAAATCGTTTAAATTTTTAATTACACGAAATGTATTGAATTGCATATTGAACTAAATTACATATGAAGAAAAATTTTTCTCATCTAATCACTATATCTTATCTCGTTCATTTGCGCTTTTGCAGGTGAGGATGATGGTTCGGTAAAACCATCGCAACTAGTCCTGTGAAAATTTGAAAATATAACGCGGACTTTTGTTGTTTGACTTCTAAATTAGTACTTGCTCGGCGTGTAATTGTATCATACATATTGAATGTTTGAAATTATAAAGTGAATATCTGTATTTATTTTAAAATATTTGTTTTCATCCTTGTCTTTCTTCTTATATTCCTCTTATAACAAGCATTTTGCCAAGGTCTTAAAGGGACCTTAATCATGAGATCGGCTGCATACAACAAAGTACAGGAAACTTCAAATTTTTCCTCAATCTAATAAAATCTGTCTTGTCATCCACTGCATGATCACGATCCACGCTTTGGGAACTACTATTATAAAGATTAGATTGCGAATTTGAAATTAAAATAAATTCGTTAGTGGGAAAGTACTATGTTTTTAGTATGTGCAGTCGATCCCAAGTACAAGCATGCGAGAAAAAAAAATTACATAGTACTTTTTTCTCTTCATATTAGTTACATTTTCTACCTAATTGGTAGATAATTGAATGGAAAATAATAATAAAAATTTAACTTGTGATCTGGAAACTTCAGATGGCACTTCGAAAAAAAAAGTTTATTATTAGAAACTCTGAAAAACTAAAAATGTATAAATATTTTAAAAAGTAAATGAAACACTATACCAGATATTTCACTTCTCTTCCGAAATAAAAATGGTACCTACTATTTCCAATCTTTACTTCTCAATTAAACTAAGACGCGACCTAAATAGTTTGAATTTAAAAAGCAGCGGCGTCTATTTCCGCATTTTGAAAAAAGATGTATTGCAATAAATATCGTTACTACAAAATTTCATCATTCTATTAGATTCTATTTTGAATGCTGGGCATTTCAATTACTTTTCCCATGTTTAAGGCGATATGAGCCAGTTTTCCTTAGAAAGTCCTTCACGAAGGCATCCTTTTTCTTGGGGAGATAACTCTAGCGTGCTTACCCTTAATCAACGTAAATAATAAGCGAAACCAAATAAATTCAGATCTATCTCCAGTTTATTTGACTGTAGGATAGACTGTCTGTTATTAGTCTGCAGACTGTAGGATACAAAAACGTCTAAATGTTATTAAAGTAAACATTGTTTTTTAATGAATCATTTTACTACGCACAGATGTTTATTATTTTGCAACGCGCATGTGTTTATTGCCAATAGAAAGTAATAACACCTCGAACTAATAAAAAATATTATGTGTAACTTTGTAGTTTTGTGTGTAAATAAAAAAAATTCAAGCGTAACAAAATTCTGTTGCTTAGGATAAAAAAGTTCTGTAAAAGAACTTTATATTTTCTCCCTCCTTCCAGCATGCCTAGGTGGGAGAGAATGTGAGGAATTAGCATACCCTTTCCGTACTTGTTCTTGTTGCGTAAGTGGCTAGTACGTACATCTAATTAAACGGATGACCTATAAGTCAAACCCTGACAAGGGAGCAGATTCTTCACTTTTCTTCTTCGAAAACTCTAGCAGTCTCAACAAGTGATGTCTGCTAATTGGCAAATAAACTTGTTGAAATAGAATACTTCTGAAATATCGCAAAGAGAGAATATAAATAGACCAATTAGATAAAACTCTTGCTGGTTATTATTCTTTTTTTTCCTCGTTAAAACTGAGAAGTCTGGATTCTTGATCTTATTTGTATTGTAATGCGAGACACGGCGGTAACTACCTGCTGTACAGTTCTTAAAATAGAGGACTACAATTTAATATCCATTTATTAGACAGCGACGAGACGATTTTATCACACTAAGTGCTTGATGTCGAGACGATAAAAAATAAACATAAAATTAAAAAAAAAAGTACTAACAGCTTTTCTTTTCAAAGCACATTAGTTGCGCAAAGTCTCATTTTGTTTTTCTACTTATATTGATGAAATACACAACTATCGTTGGTGTCTGTATTTATTTGTTCTGAAATTTTACTTATTAGAATCAAATACAATATTGATTTGAGGTAATCTTTCAAGATCATTTTTCTCTTCCAAGGGAACTTTTTAAGTATTATATATCTGCATCTACTTGTCTAATTATTCATACATTTCTCTACGTCTGTTTACACCTATGCTTTACATTAACGATAACTCCCATATTTCTAGCTCCGAGTATTGTTTTCAATGACAGCTCCTAAATTTCGAAGAAACCTTGTTAGGTATTTTCGCCCTTCTTACCGTGGGCCTTCATGGTGTAAGTGGAAGTACATCCGGCTGACAATCGGAAGGTCCGGAGTTCGATTCTCTGCGAAGGCATCACTTCATGTTTCTCGATTTCAAAAAATTCTACATAACTCTGCAGAGACACCTGAATTAAGGAGGTGATGAGCGATAATTCGTCACCATCAAGATTTGGTTACTGGCTCCCCTCCTCTCCATTCGCCTCTAAGTGCGAAAGAACATAAAGTAATTTCTCCCTCCTCACAGCATGCCTTTGTGGTGTAACTGGAAGTACGTCGGGCTAGAAATCAGGAGGACACTGCACATTTTTCATGTTTTCTGCTTCAGCAAAAATCTTAATGATCCCACAGTGGCATCGGAGCTAAAAATGCAGTAGACGATAATTCGTTACCAACAGGATTTGATGATCGGGTTCAAGCCTCCTTAACTGTTCTCTAAGTAGGGTAGAATGTAAGGCCTTTTCTCTTTCCTTGCTATGCGTTTTCGTGGTGTAATTGGAAGAACGACCGGCTGGCAGTCGGAAAATACGGAATTTGAATCTCGGCGACAGCACTGCATATTTTTAACGTCTGTTGCTCCTAAGTAAAATGTCTAATGTTCTCTAGAAATTTATCAGTTTTTAGTTAAATAAAAAGTTGTTATTACATAATTTTTAACTAACTTCTCTGTTTTCATCGGCCATCGCCAGACTGCAAATTAGGATGAGTTTAAGCAGGACGTGTGGCTAGTATTTAAAGAACATGGAGCAGCTTCTTTTGAGTACGTGATTACACGGCGAAATTAATCAGCTCTTTATTTCCCGTTTCTTGGAATTAAAGGATTAATCGTAGCCTTTACAGGATGGTGCACGAAAAGCAGGTCCAAAAAATGCTAACTCGTCTCACCTAGTTCATTGTTGCGACTATTGTAAGGTGGTTTATTTGATTACGACAAAACCCGCGAGGGTTATCTGTCTAAGGGAAGGGATGCCTTCGTGGAAGACATTTTGAGGGAAATTTGTTCCTACCCAAGTTACACACGAAGGAAATCATGAAAACGCCCATGCAGCTAGCTCATTTATTTGCTTGGAATCGAACCTAGGTCGAATTACCAGAAACTCAAACGAGAATTGCTTCTGGTATGGAAGAGGAGTATATAAATGGTCCACGGTTGCTAGAATTACTTTCTGCAGAAATGAAAATCGAACTGATTCATGTTTTAAAAGTGGAACTATTTTTGATTAAATGAGGAATAAGGTCCAGGTAACAACCAAGCAATGGCGTTCCAATAATCTGAGATGGGAGTGATTGATCTGTTCAGTGACTATGTCATGAACAAATTCAGGACCATTCTGAAGAAAAGTGAGACCACTTGAAACCTGTACCACAAAAGAAACTAAAAGTGGATGTACAATAAGATAAAGATATTGGAAGACTAGGAAGATTAAATAAACTAAAATCTGTGTGTACTTACAAAGCATATGTAAATATTTTCATAACCAATATATTAGTAAATTCCTATAATTCGATTTTTTAAAATATTTTCCGAAATTTTTTTACAATGTTTCGTGAATTTGGACGGAGATGAGAAAGGAATTAAAGCTATTCTCATAGCATACGGTGTACCGCCTTAGTAATGCTTTAGCGGAACGGATTACATTCGCTATGTGAGGCACCGCTGTATAGCGTTTAACAATATAAATATGATCACAGTATTCAGAAAATAATACTTCTTTTACTTTTCTAATTACTAAAGAGACAGTAATTTTTAAAATTGGTTAAATGACAGAAAAATCAGACAGTATCTTTGGCCAGTAAAGAAGTGCTTTCTCTACGATTTAAGTATCACAATTATTTCTTACAACTTCCAAATATCATCACGCCGTTCAAATTTGTTAAAGCTTTAGGCTGTTTGCATCTATAGTCAATCAGGGAAGAGTTAGCGTTGCTTAACAACGATACTTTGCTTATACTATTTGTGCCATCTAAGGCAGATAGAGCATCTGCATGTTCGTCTGGCATGGACGAAAGCCCACGCCAGGAAACACCTGTAACGAGGCAGCCGACCTCCTCGCGAAAGACGCAGCCCTCAACATAGAAGCGGAGGAATCGGAAATTCCATGGCCACACTCTACTTTGAAACGACATCTCCATCTGCAGGCTCTCGCTAAGTGGCAGGAAGAATGGGACACTGCACAAACAGGCAGGCGTACACACTACCATCTAATGTACGTAAACCCTGCCCGGCTATGTTCTAATACGCACTTGGTGCGCTTTATCACGGGCCATGGGCCTTTCCCGGAGTACTTTGCAGGCATGGCATCACTGACACAGATCAGTGCAGTTGTGGTCACCTGGGTACTCCGGAGCATTATGTCACAACCTGCCCACTTACCAGCGAACTGCACATACGTATTCCAACTGTCAATACACAGGCCTTCTGTAAATTCATGATTAAGCAGAAGCACCTGTGTCGACAGATCATTAAAATCATGAATTTACTTGCCAGACACGGCACTGACCTTTGCGCAGTCGAATAATTAGTGCAAGGCCTGAATGGCTTTTGAGAAATGTCTTCTCAGATAACGCAAATATAGCGCTGAACAAGCAAACTCTACCAACAGTAAGTCAAACATTCCAAGTATACCACCTATGTGTACATGTACTGTATATCCGAAGAGTACCGCAACATCTCAGCAGTAGTAATCAAAATTCAAGCAATGTAAATAACTTAAGAACCATTATATAAAATAGTTCATGCACATCAGCAAGTATGCGCGAACATCTCCACTAATTTAACAGTGAATATTAATATGGATGACGTGTCAGACAAGGAAAGTACACAGCTGACTTCAGGCTCTGTCTAGACCTGAATTGTAAGTGTAATGCTACCCAATGCCCATCCCCATAAGTGGCTGCACAACCTAACTGCTTTAAATACGTGTATTTAAATGTAAATGTCGCATCGGATGTACTGAACAGTCAAAGGACAATATCTTAGAATATGTATGCAAAAGCATGTGTACAGTACAATCCTGCGCATACCGCAGTGACATAGCAAGATGCGCCTATGAACAGCAGAAATGTATACTTACATGCCCCGGCATGTCAGACATCCTAAGCTCATTTGCATAACTGCCAGAGCAATTATATTGCTCAATATGTATCAAAATCTAATGTCACATTGGACATAATAAAAACACTGCTGAATCCGAACACTGCACAAACTGTAAATGTAATACCACGTAACGCAAGTGTAACGTCATTTCTGAATAGTAATGTAAAGTCATATGTAATGTTGTATCGAATTACGTAACATAATATAGAAAATACACACAGTACCGCATTATATGCAAACACTGTCATTAATAAGTATCTATGCGTCAGTACAAAAATCTCACAGGTACAGCAGGACCTCAGATGTAGCTGCCTTGAGCACCTATAATGTATATATGTCAGGTCTGCCTGTACGCCATCCTAAAGCTCAATCACATAAAAGCAAAAGCAAATATAGTGTTATAAATATGTTCTATATGCAATGTTGCTCCTGACAATGTATTTACAGAATTGAATCTGCATAATGTAATTCGTAAATGTAATGTCAATAATGGTAATGTAATACCACTATTATCTCATATATAATGTAAATGCCGTATTGCATAGTGTATATATAAGACATGCAATGTCATAATTATGTAAATATGTATATGCACAGCACTATTTATACGTGCACTGAAGTAATTTAGTTGCAACCGCCTTCTGCACACATGTAGTATATATGTACTAGTCCTGCATGAAAGCTCCCCCAGGCTCACTTGCGTAATTACAGGAAAAATTATTATGTTCTATACGTAGCTATATGCAATCTCTAGCCAACTTTTTAGATAAGGGTGGACGTGGTGCTGTACTAATTAATCTTTACGGCAAAGGAACAGTGCCCACGTCCACCGTCACTTATCACTTATCTGTTATACCATTTGTGATAGCTATTCATATTGTGAACGCACCCTAAGAGACTTAGGAGAAAACTATCCGACACTTTGAAGAAAAGGACGAGCTCCCTGGTGCAGATAGAAAAAAACAAACGGTAGTAGAATAACAGAGAAAATAATAATAATTAAAAAAAATATAAACGATACCCTCACTCAAACATTAAAGAAGCTGCGGAAAAATTAACAGGTAATAAACGCTACAAAAGAATGTAAAATATCATCAATGATAGTAGCAACATTGTCATATAGTTCAGAAAGATGAGAAACAAAGCAAATCGATTCACGAAAGAACCTCAGCTCTTGCAAGAAAAATGAAAGCCAGCAGGCGCATGTTGGAAGTTTTGCCGTTATTAAAAATGGCCTCACATACTAAACATTTTCAGAGATCAAAACGTGTGATGTACGAAACGTTCACTCCATAATGACAACTATAAAGACGTATGCGGACTTTCAAACACACATAACATTAATCTTATACTATTTCCAAATGAAACTCACATAAATTCCTCTGATAGATTAAAACATTCAAAGTATAACACTATAACAAAGGTAGCAGAATCGTAGTCTTAATACGAAAACACATAAAATAAGCTACTAATTATATCTTAGGCATCACAGGTCGTATTGAAACAACAGTTGCTGTTATCTATAATGCCGAACCTTTCCTGATTACCTCAATATATGATCTTCCTCAAATTAAAGTAAATAATCAAAACCTGCATAAAATTTTTAATCTTCCATAAAGTATAATACCAGCTGCAGACTTCAATTAGATATATCATTCTTGGAATAGCTCTGAAACAAAGGAAATTTCCTGTATAATTCCTGTATTTCCTGGAAAAGGAAATTTCCTACATAATTTTCGCAGCGTAAAAGGATTAACACAACATTAGACTCCCCAATGCAGCAGATCCGAAATGCATCTGATATCCTTGATACGCCTTTGAAGGATATCCGCAATTAACGGTTCACAACGAATTCAATTGGAATCACCTGTCAGTTAACTTTACTTGGCACCTCTACGCATGGAAATATCCAAAACAAAGTATTATAATTAATCGGAATACATGTACCATTTTTTAAATAATAATAACATCAATTACAA